GTGTTTAGCGAGCATTTCTGTTGCAATGTTGATTTAACCGGGTTAAGACGACTTAATCTCTCTTCTTCAGTTCCCTCAACTGAGGGGACACAATTGTTTACAGTCTCCCAGTGAACCAGACTGAGGATTTATGTCAAATATTACTTTCAGTGGGTTATTTTTTTAAACACAGATGGGCTCCTCAATTTAGTTCAATACACAACTTCTGGAAACTGAAGGAGAAAGGAGTGAGCAGGTAAAGCAAAAGGAGAGCAGAGGCAGCTACACCAAATACTTCTGTCAGTATTTTTTGTCTTTTTCAGGCAAAATCAGTCCTTACAATAGTTTGAGTTTTGTTGGGGTTGGGCAGTTGGGTTTTTTTTAATGCATAATACAGGAAGACCTCAGCTTTTCCTGACAAATGCATTCCACACTAGTGCAATAACTTTCAAGCAATACCACTGTTAAAAACAGGGAAAGTGCTTTGCATAGGAAACTCTGTGGTCCAGTACTTGAGTGGCCCAAAGGAAACGCTATGATAATCAAGTTAGTGGCAAAGAGGTTTTTCCACACCTTGTCCTGTATAACCCAATGTGTACGCAACAAGAGATAAAAAAAGCACACTGATGCAATAATGTTCTTCCTATTCACTGTGTACATGCGGGGAAACGTATACACTCGCAAAACAGATAGACTTTCTAGAGCTAAGACTTTGAGAAGCAAGTTTAGAGAAATTTCTCCAGGCACAGCAAGGGAAGAGAATAAGAAAAAATATTTAATCTAGCTTAAGTTTGCTTATAAACGTTCGGTTCTCATTGCAAAAGTAAGTAGTTAAGGCAAATACACAAATTTTAACGGAAGTCAGAAGTCATTAAGCAATGGACTAGCATTCAGGTTAGTTCTTAGCTTGGTGATTCATGGACTGTTGTTCAATGTAGACTGTCTGTGCAGTGAGTACTTTCTTCCTGCTACCAATCAGAAAAAGTATACTTATTGTTTATCCTCTCAGGAAAACGTCTGTCTTTTATAGGTGCTAAATGGCTTTCTGTCAATACTAGCACAGAAGCTTTATGAAATATACTCAGTGAAAAAATATCAACATCTAAGAAATTAATTCCAAAATACTCATTTCTAAAAAGCTCACCTATTCTAAGGCACAGAAAAAATAATCCTGATATAGCACTCACATAATACCTCGAAATTTCATGCTACTTTGAGAAAACAAAACATGGAGACTACTTTTGGGTATGTCTACTTGAAAGAGCCAAGTGGTTTTTCCCATTACACCTCCTTTGTCCCACTTCATGCAACACAGTAAGTCTTCCCATATGTTTTAGCAGCACTGAAGAGCACTAACAGAGGGATTATAGTCTTCCCCCTCTCCCTGGCCCCTCAAGCTGAAAGGCTCCCATACCCTTTAATTATGATTTGCAAATCTACATTCTTACCTTGGAATATTCAAGGGTAAACAGTATTCACCTTGTCTAGGTTGGCTTCCTATGGCCACAGGCAGAACTCAGATCAGCACAGAGTTGCAGGTCACTCTATCATACGTTTTGAGTTCAAGAGCAGAGGGCTATCCCAGAAAATTGCAGTTCAGAGGATTTGGCGGTCCTTAACGACATGCTGGACAACAGAAACGCTGAACTGACAGTATAGCCCTGCCACAAAATACCAGGCACAGTCATCGACTTCTGTGACTGATCAACCAAAAGATTAAGTTTGGGATAAACTAGTTCTCTTTACCTTACATTTCAAAGTGTTTTGTTTTTGGTTTTTTTTGTTTCTCCCCAGGATCTTATGTAGAGACATATATAGTTTGCCTAAGGCCACTGGGAACTGTTCCAGAATATTCCTACAAAAACTGCTTCTCCTCATTTGCTGACTCTAGCCCAAATCTGTGGTGAGAGTGGCAAGGACAAGAAATCTCAGGGCAGAATTTTTATGGTTCCTATTTTCAAGCCTTTAGTCTGAGTGGATTTGGACCATAGCAACAAAAAAGGTTCCTGTATACCTTACTGGGCTTTGCCTGATAACTGAGAATTAGTTTCATCTGTAGAAGGGGAACTAAGCTCACAGGGACCAGCAAGTGAGCATATCACAGCCCCACAGAGTTCCCAAACTTAGGTGCTAGACCACAGGTTACTGAACCAGTTGAATTAAAATTGTAAACAAAGCTGCAAACAAAATGTCTGCAGATGTTACTCATGTATGCTTCACACCCATAATTTGCAAGTCAAGTAATACCAATATTTATGTACTGCAAGTACGTAATTATGTTGCTATGGAACATAATACTCCCCTGTAACTCAGGCTCAGGATAAAGAGATTTAATTCACTTAAAAGCAGAATTCTGATTGAGACTTTACATACCTATCATAATGTACATGCTACTGCAACTTTTATGCTCATTATTATGTGTGTGAATAGTCAGAGATTTCACTGAGACTCCTTACGTTAAAAGTAGTTTTTAGAAATGCTGTTACTCATCAAGTCAATAACGTCTGTAATCTTTTATTAAACATATACTCACTTTCATGAACTGGACTTTAACGTTAAGAGTACAGTGGTCAGGTTTCAAAAGCACAAACACAGCCTACAGTCCTGCTCACTATGAACTGGAAAAAAATACTTCAGCTTTCTGGATCTAATGAAGTTTAACAATACCACCTGTTGCTTCTTGAGTAACAGAGCTGTTTACTTTTCAGCTCAGTGTGATGCAAAATGTCATACCTCTAACATCACCACCTAGCAGAAAATAATTAATACTATATCTGCTAGTTTTTAAAAGAAAAAAAAAAAAAAAAAAGATGGTGATGAGACAGTGAAGAAGTTCCAGAGACATTTTTATTTTTAGATAATTTAGTTATGGTCAGGTTAATACTTTTAGTTTAATTTTTTCATTCCTAGAATGAAATCTCAGTTGCATCTCAAGTGAATCTAAGAGTCTATATCTACAGTTTAGGAAGATAATTATAGTGTCTCTAACTACCATCAGAACAAGCTTTACAAGCTTTTTTAGTAACTCCATGTAACAGCTGCATGATCAGAGAACATTAAAGTTTAAAATCTGAATTGCAATTACAGCAATTTCTACTTCTAGGTCCATTATATCACTACAGGGTCAAAAAGGCTGTTTAATTCTCATCTTTTGAATTAAGTTTATTCCCAACTGAAAATTTTCTAGAGTTGAAACCATATTCTCTCATGCAGTACGATATTGCTGTAAATTTTTTCCTCACATAATTTCAGGATATATACATTCAAAATTAATTAAAAGTTTTCACATGCCTCAAGTATCTACAGTATAAAAATTAAACAACACATAAAATGCTATGACAGAATAGTATTTGAAGCATGTAAGTATTTAAACGTTAAAAAAAAAATTTCCATATTTACCAGAACACCCACAGCTCTTCTACGCTGCTAAAAAAATACAGCAAAAAAGGTACAGTTAAATTTACATTCCTTATACTTTTGTTTCTCCGTCCACGTAACATGCTCACTGATAGAAAGCTGATTTTTAAAAAAAATTATTATTTAATCAGCAGAAGCTGAGGAACTCTCATCTTCAAGAGATACTATTTCAGTTCTGAAAAGACCCTCCTCACCAATAGCCTGACTTCACACTCTGGAGGCAAGAGTTAGCAGCCAAGAGGTCCCCATTCTGTCCAAAGTCGCGCCGCAATAAGCAGTGACGCTTCTTTTCCAAAGGACATTACAACTAACAGTACTTACTGGTCATGTGTCCTCCCAAATGAAAATATTCCCTTGCATGTTTTGAGAAATAAATCAAATTTGTTCTCTTTCCTCCACCCATAAATTCACATTTTTAAATGGAAAATTAATATATATTAACACAGCTGGGGGAGATAATAAATCTTCTGATTCTGGAAGACCAAAATAAAACTTTAAAAAAATCACTCCAAGTGAAACTACGATATAACACAAGTAATTAGCTACCTCTATAAGAAATTTTAGAGTATGACTTAATTATTAGAATTCTTTAGGAAAAACAACAAGGGAAATAATTTTTAAAAAAATTCTTAGAGCTGTTAGACTGCTGAACACATTCTGATCACATCAAAGAGTTTCTATTACAACGTGGATTTGCTGGGTCTTGCAAAACTTGCAGAACTCAAAAGGAAAACAGAAATACAAGTGCATTTGCCTCTCCAGTTCCCTCGTCTCTTATCACACCAGTTCTGGATTGCAATGGTGGTGAGCCAGCTACTCTCTTCACCAGACAAGTGGAACATGTTACATAAAAAGCACATGAAAAGGCCTTAAGCCTTAGAAATGGGTATCCTGGACAACCAAGTCAAAGACTTCATTTCATGGAGATTACATGGATCCCACTACTGCAGACTTTCACCTAAGAGCTAAAACACAATTTTTGCTGTATGCACATATTTAAAAGCCTCAAAATACCGAGTAACCTATAATAACAGGTAAGATAAACCACACCTAGCATCAACAAAATGAATAAGCTCCATTCACAGTATGAAAGGGCAAATTCATGCTGAATACTGCATAGTTTAGGTATATGGGGGTGGGATCGGGGGTTACTTTAAAAGAAAATCTCACTTTTCCATATGCTGTAAAGGCATCTGTCCTTCTAAAGACTATACCAATGCCAAATTTGAAGCTTTCGGAAAGATTCAATCCTATAATACGGTAGATATTTCTTGGGAGAGAGAAGAAAGAAAAAAAGAAAACTCTACCACACAGCATTTAATGGTGCTTTGCTTTAACAATCATCTAGAAGGGAACACATCTAGATTGCACGTTACCGTTGTGCAACCCTAGACCTGCAACCAAAAGTGAAATTCCCAGTAACTGATATAAAATTTTACACTTGAAGGTTTTACTTCTCCAGATATAATCTGACAAGCCAACAAATTATCCCAAGTGCAGATATAAACTGGGACAGAAGCCCTGTTACACATATAGGAAGAAAAGTCAATATTGAAGAGTTAATTTAAAATAAGAACTGTCTTGGTTTCAGTATTATTACTCACCCGCTTTGGCCCACTAAATATCTTCCTGGTATTTTCCTTAGATTTATCACCTTGTTTATTTATGGATTTCTTATTGCCTTCAGGCACACCAGATGCATCCTCTGAAAACTCTAGAAGATCTGTAAAAGGTAAATATAGACATGAAACAACCCTATTGAAAGCTGTTGAACTGCTACAGCATTTCTTACATCTGACATTTCCACGTGCATAGCTTCTGAAATTATAATAAACAATCTTCAACAGAAAAATCAGCTTTAAAGCCACAGTTCTGCACAGAGTTCAGGTTTACATAATACATAGAAGATACATTACAAGGTGTACGGTCACAATTATTATAGCACCCCTTGCCCATTGTGTAAACTTCAAGCCATTATTTCCCATTTTATACTCCTGTGAATCCCAGGTTACCTTTTGTATGTGTTTACTTATGGCTTACTGCTAAAAACTCTGAGCAGCAGATGAATTAAACAGCAGGTGGGTTCTTCAAAAATGTGAGATTAAGAGATTTCTAAGAATACTTCCCACTACAATTACAGGGCCGAAAAATTGATTCTGCCTCACCTCTCATGAAGGTGGCCTGTTTAGTTTCGCTTAGTCTGCTATAAACAGGGTTAAAAAATATGGTCATCAGCTCAGAAAGAAGTCAGCTAGAAGGAACCACTGAAATGGCCTTTCAATGTATTCAATACTTGCCTTACCAATAGTTCTAGTACTCAGTTTTGGGCCATAAATCTGCAATTCACTGATCTAATTAAATTCTTGTTCTGTTGTTTTGGTTTTGGGTTTTTTTGTTTTTTTTTTTTTTTTCCTTTAAACTTGTGTTGCATTTGAATCATTATCCATTGGAGACAAGCTTATGTTCTTTTACTCAGCACAAACCAGAAGTTACCATAAATTTCAAGATGGAAATAAAGACAGGCACAGAGGAGCACTGTTTCATCTGATAAACAGTTTGGAAAACCGATCTACTCCAGGGAAGCTGCCACTATCTGAAAACTGCACTGCAAAAACACAAGCAGTTGGATTGGTCACTCTGATCTCCAGTGCACTCCCATCCAGTAAACACGACTGGCCAAGTGCCTAGGTAAGCAGGCAATCAACAGCAAATCCAGCAAACAAATTTCCAATGGCACTAGCAAGGACCCAAAAAACTTAGCTAGCAGTCTGGGAATACACGTTTTCTTAAAACAAGGCTCAAAAGTTTCTTATATTGCAGTAAATTTCAACTGGCTTGGCAGCACCAGGGCAGGCAGGATACCCACTGCAAGGCATCTACCGGAACCAGCCTCTCACATCCCAGCCTACTGGTTTTCAGTTTAGTTATATGATGTCAGCACAAGAGCTTAAGAACATAAGAACAATCCAATCCCTCTGAAAATAACTGACTTTAGAAGAGGACAGATTTAGAAGAAGATAACTTGATAAAATCAGTCTAACAGAGGAAAAAATATTACAGACCAATTGTCATTAACTTAAATACAGCAAGACTACTTCCAAATCTGTATAAAAGTCAATTTAGTCCTTTCTTGGAACTTACCAATTAAAGGAGTCAAATCAAATTGCTTTGATACTCATCCTTACAAATCCTGAAATACTTTTGAAGAAGCCAGGCCCCGAACGCAATTCCTAAAACCAACAGAACTGGACCCTCCTATCGTAGATTAAAAGCTAAAAAGTAACTCAATTGACTACAGTAATTACAAACATGCAAGTTACACTAGAAATACAAGAATGGATTTTCACCCACCAAATCAGCACAATAATTTGCGGCTTGCACTAAGACTTGGAGCTGGTACTGTGATTAATAATGAATAATAATGCTCTATATCAACAAAGCCGCAATTTTAAAATCACCTTAAGTTTTTTAGTTCTACTCCTGAACTATCCTATTAATATGAGGTAATTTTAAATTAAAAGAAACTTCTTGACAAAGACTTCAACTCTTACTTACAATAGGGTAATTTTGCATTTTTTTAAATGTTGCTAGCGTATCAAACATTTATCATTAGTTTCATAAGATTATCTGGAATGCTTTTATTTGAGCAATGCTCTTTGAGGCCTTCTAGGTATCCTGAAAGCACTCTGCATACGGATCTTACCA